AATGAGGCAAATTTCCAATGGGCTGGCATCGATTTGACAAAGCAACAGTTGCTCCAACACCAGCGATCCCCCCACCCCTGCTATTTGTGCAGCCGAGCCTCCCAGTGAGTGGCCTGCGGGCAGTCATTTGCATCTTGCAGTCATTATCGCTCACTCTTCTTCTCTCTGCATCTCTCTCCGTCTACCTCCTTCGTGTCCGATTGACTGTCAACTGTGACGTGTCATCGCCGTAAGTCAGCAGTTTTATGATTCCTTTTAGCTGCCCGCCGCCGCTTCTTTTCCCATGGCCAATAAAGCCAGCTCGAGCAATTAGTTTGTGATTTGCGGCAAATGTAAAATTTGGGGAAGTTTTTCGTAAGCTATTGAACAGGCATAGAACTGTGAACGGTGACCAAACGAAGTTCAAATACTCTTAAAGAGTGCTGAAAGAAACATGATCAATAGTGGCTGCTCTCGTTGGCTCCCATTTTACGATGATTTCGGCCATCGTTAATATCGATTGCTTCATCGATCGACTTGTCAGCTCTAACAAGTAATAAGGGTGCCATCGATAGTTTTAACAGCTCTACTCGATATGCAAGTCAATGTTTTGATAAATAATAAATAAATAATAATATTATGAAAGATCAAGTATGTACATATATCTGCATATAATATATATAAATCTACTACTTCTTCTTCAAGTTTACCTGCTATTCGCCTTTATCTGCTATTACGTATACGCCGCATAGACAAGCAAAAAAAGATTTCATCCATTCAATTGAAATGAAGTGGCAAAATTGTCTTTTTGCTTGTAATTTTTATACATTGGCTTTTAATAACAGTCAAGAGACGAGCCGAGACGCGCTGTCATCATTATTATGGTTTGGAACATCATGATCGCGTTTGGTTTTGCCCGTAATTTGCTAATCATTTCAACTGCCACTTTGGCCAGCAATTTAAGCGCCGCAACAAGGAAGAAATTGTCAACCATTTTGGAGTCATGAGAAAATGCCAAGACAATCTTCAATGCTGGCTATTTATTTGGTGGCTGCAAAGGATGATGCCCAGATTGACCAACAGTGGACAGGCGAGCCAAAAGTGAATGGCAGATGATTTTAACTCTTGCTTTCAGCCTCGCCAACACGTTGCCTTCGAAATTGGCCAACAGCGAGCAGTGGGCGACCAACTGTCCAGCATTGTTATGGAGGAATCTGTCGCTCTGTGTGTGTGTGTAATCAGCAGCGATGCACGCATGCCTGACTGAGTCGCTCAGAAAGGGAGAACGCACTGATGGATATACGCCACAGCAGCCATGACTTAATTAAGCATCTGCGAATTGTTAATTAATATTTGCCAGCCATATGTCGTATACATAGATATGTATTGGAAATTGGGCAGCAGCTGCCTGGCTGACTCGCAGAGGTCATGCAGAGATAAAATTGCTGCAGCCACAACTCGCTGTGTCTGTCGCTTTCTTCTATGGAAATTCCACAATTCGATTGGCCATAAAGCGCAAAGGCTCGTTTAGCAACTGGTTACGTGGTCGTCACCCGCCGCCAAACGCTTCCTGGAAGCCACAAAACTGATCACCGTCGCGACAAAGGTGGCATCTGCCAGCTGCCTCAACTGCCTCAACTTAGGCGTCTCACGTAGTCGTTGCGCCTCTGTCTTTGCCTTTGCCTCTTCCTCTGCCTCTGCCTCTGCCTCTGCCCAGACAAGCATTGCATGTGCCGCATAAATCTTCAGCTCATTTATTTATTTAAAATACAATATACTGCAAGTGCATCCAGCTGCTGCTTGGGTTGGGTGTCTGCACCCAACAGCCTCTTGATTATATAGAAAATGTTGTATGTGCATTTCATGTGATTTGTACTACGGCCGACAAGCCTCACCTGGGGGCGGCCGCGTGTTGAACTCTTCAGGATATTATTGTCAGCGGCAATTGACTTAATGTCTAGAATTGACTTTTGACTAAACAATGGCATTTCATGTCTTCAATTGTTATCATTAGCACTGAAATCTATGCATATTAACCTTTTCAAGAGATAACAAAACGTGCATGGTATTTCAAGTAAGCTTGCTTTGTTTTCAGCTATATCAAAATCAATATGGCAAAAGAGGGAGGCCTAGTCAGACAACATGTTTTCATAAAGTAGCTGACGAGCTGAATACCAATTTGAAACATGCTTAAGCTTAGTTACTAAACAGTTGCTTAAACAGCAGAGCCAGCATTTACAAAGCAATTTGCATGCCTTCTCGTATATGGAAAACTCTTTGGTTCTTTGACACAGACTGACGCAAGCAAACAACATTCAAATTATGCAAAACAAAGCGCTAGGAAGACGGACTCGGGCTGACTGATTTGTGAGAAATTCAGTGCTACTTAAGGATTTGGCCTCATGGCTTCAGCTATGCGAACAAACGCGCAACACATCCCAGCCAGCATAATCCGACCACGAAGAACAAGGCGAAGGCTGAGCTAAATAGCATGAAATATGGGCAGATTTAAGATCTGCATGCTGGCTTACAGGCACACCAACTAGTTAAGGCTTAAAGCTAAATGAAAGTAGAATAGTGAATAGAGAGTAGTAGACACGGAATTCAACTATATTTGCAAAAAAAAAAAAAAAAAAAAAAAGAAGAATCAGATTATTTTTCGAGATATTCCTTGCGTCAACCTAAAGCCTATAGCGGCTTGTGGTATATCCTTATGCATTAGAAGTTTCTGCCGGGATTGTTAAAGATTTCCATATTTTTAGTTGAATTTTTTGTAACTCTACTTAAAATAAACAAGTAAGAACGTTGCAGTCGGGCGTTACCGACTGCGGAATACTCATTCACATCCCATCAACAATTTAGTAGTTAAGTCTCGCTCTAATACTGTAGAATATACAGGTTTTTCCGATTTGCCACGCCCCAACTGGGCGTAGACACCTCATTTTTGGTCAGTTTTTAGAAAGAGATAACGGTACCCTAACTGCAAAGTTTGAATGCTTACCCTCAAGAAATGTGAAAATTACAGGGTATTTTTCGATATGCCACGCCCCTATAGAGGCGTAAAAATTATTTTTGGGGAATCGATAGAGAAGGCTACCAGTAACTCAACTATCCAAATTTGAAGCTTCTAGCTATTATACTTTTGGAGATATAAACTTTTGCGGTTTGCCACGCCCCCTGTGGGCGGACATATATCCGACAAAACTTTTTGGTCTTGGGTGATCAGTCCGAGTATATATACAAAATTTGAGGTCTCTGCCATCAATAGTGTCCAAAATATAGGAGAATTTAAAAAATCACTATATCTTCAGGTCCGATTTACCACGCCCCCAATGGGCGTAGACTTATAATTTTACCTTTAGACTTCATAGAATCACACCATTAGCTGACGTGCAAAATTTCAGCATTCTAGGTTTACAACTTTAGGAGATACAGTTTTATCCGATTTGCCACGCCCCCAATGGGCGTAGATATATCCGCCATAGCTTGTGATCTTGGGTGGTCAACGCGGACCTACATACCAAATTTCAGCTTTCTAGCTCTTCAACAAACATGATTTCTGGTATATCGGAAAATGCATTTTCCGATTTGCCACGCCCCTAGTGGGCGGATCGGGAAAATTTTAACACTTTATAAATCGGAGATATACACGAGTATGTGTTCCAAATTTCAAGTCTCTAGCTTCAATAGCGCCGAAATAGATTGCGTTCATACGGACAGACGGACAGACGGACGGACGGACAGACGGACAGACGGACGGACAGCAAGACGGACATTGCACAAAACCAATATACTGATTCACTTTCGTGAATGAGTATAAAAATGTCATATCAACTATAAATTAATAAAAACAAATAAAGAAATAAATAAATAGTAATAAAAGTTTTCCAATAACTAAACAGAAAAATCTGGAACTTCCTAACCATGTTTGAATTTTACTGACTCCTAATATTTAGGTTTATTCAGCAGCAGTCACCTCAAGGAATGTTAAATGAAAAAAATTAATAAATAATATAACAAATTGCAAAGGTTGTTCAGAAATTACAGATTTGTCTGTTTAGGTATTGCTAGCTAAAGTCGGAATTTATCAAGCTAACTTTCGGATATAATATATACTCTTAACTTATCTGAAAATATTAATGCAACATAAAGTGCCCAGGTTGTACTTATTGCTTAGAATTTCTCCTTCAATAATAATCTAAATCGAATATTCATTTCTTAATCCAATTCGATGACTCACTATAAAATCAAATCTCTTCACTTTAAATTCCAGTTGTACATTACATAAATAATTGTTTAGCCCTTTTCTCATCCATTTAGCTTTAAGCCATATTTGCTGAAATTCAATGGAATTCACGCAAACAGCCAAGAGCTGTGTGAAAATGTTAATTTCATTACACTTGACTACTGCAAATTGCATTTACAGCTCTACTGAACACATTGTAGATAGAACCGTTGCCAAATTTCAAAATATTTGCATTGCAAAAGTGCTCAAAGCTCATTAATTTCCATTTGAAATCGGCTTCGCTTTCAGTAATTTTTTTCAAGTCATCATCGTTTCGGCAGACTCTGCTTAAAGAGTGTATAATGTTTGTTTCAATAATCTCGAAACTATTTTCAGCTCACGCAATGCTTGCTGAGAGGCAGTGAATGTTGTTTAGTCCTGCAAATATTTCGCATTTGAATGAATGAAAGGGGCAAATGCAAATATATTCAGATAATCTCAGAGGGGCATTCAGTTGGAAAATGCGCAATGTAGTGGAGGGCTTGAGTGGACGAGGAATGTTAAATCCACACATACATATACGTATACATATACATATATATAAAATAGATTTGAACAAGGAAATGCCGCATAGAAGGACTAAAAGGATTCCGAGGGAGCATTCGCATTTGCATTTGCCATTTATCTAATACGATTTTTGGTTGCTCGCTCTAGCCGCCCGTCTAATGACCAAATCCATTTGGGCGCAAATTAGTTTTTGTGGTCAGAAAGTGGTTTTGTGGGTGGATTGACTTACCTTGCGCTTGGAGCGTGCCATGCGCTGGTCGCGCGAGTTCTCCGCCTCGCCCGGCGGCCGCTTGCCCCACACGGCGATGGCGATGCGCGTGTAGGTGAATATCAGCACCAGCAGCGGCACGATGAACTGCAGCGTGAACAGGGTCAGCGTGTAGTAGTAGCCCTGCTCGGCCGAGGGCCAGACCTCGCGACAGATGTATCTGGTGTGGCAAGAACAGACAGAGCACGGCGAAACAACAGCATCGTTTGTGGGTTGTGGCATGCAAAACAAAAGAGCAGAAGCCGCATAGTGGGCCATGAGAGTGAGTAAGTTTAATGTGCATATCAGTTTAAGGCTGTCGGAGGTGGGGGCGTGGCATAAATGCTGTCAGCCTGTGCGCTGGCCATGAAAGCTGTCACATGCACACACACGCACACAATGAAACTTTTATGTTAAGTCTCTCAACTGTAATGGCTGAAAAGTTGGCAAAAAATAAAAAGAAAAAAGAAAATAGTAAATTCGCCTGCATTTCGCCAACATTTTGCGTTGATTTATTGCAACTTTTTACCATGCAAATATGAGCTATAAAATATATTTGTTGCAAAGTGCCTCGTTGGCATAATGAACGCAGAGTCATTTTTATTTTATTTCTCCAACATTTTATGCACTTGATTGCATTTTGTGCCCACGGTGCGTGTTTTTGATAGGTTCACAAAATGAAAATTCTCATCTACCAGCTGATGTTGCGGTAATTAGGCACGTACCCTTACACATCACACAGCTGCCACCCACACGCACACACACGCACACACATGCATGCAGTTGGGCCCAAAATGTGCTCTAATTGAATGTGAAATGAGCAATTGCTTGCATTTAAAGTCAGGCAGAGTCTCATTTGCAATATTTGCAATTCACTCGAGGGCGTGCCCCAAATTGTGGCAAGTATCTTAAGCAAGCAGCCGTAAAGCCATTCGAAGCCAAAATGGAATTTCGAGTCCTTGCCATCGAGCTATCGATTTCAGCATGTGGGCCCAGCCAGCCAGCCAGCTTCTGTTGCATGCCACGACATGCTGCTTACGACTCGCAGAGCGATTCGGCTCAAGTGGCACTCGTTACACAATGCCACGGTCATATCTTTAATGCTACACTTCAAGCACGCACTACACTACATTGTGTTGAAGCTCCTAATGGGTTTCTACTCACTTCTCGCACTTCTCGTGCCATATGGAGCTGGGCACCTCCAGTCGGGAGACGACGGGTATGGGAAAAGCGGTTGCCAGCGCGATAAACCAAACGCCAGCGATGATAAATTTGGCATATCTGCAAGAAAAGAAGAGAACAGAAATAAGTTGAGGTAAAGAGTTGGTTTGTTGGCTTCTAAATGGACGCAGCGCTTCAGCTGACGCACGCATTGCGTATACGCCTCATACGACGATCTTGTGAGTGAGTGCCGGAGTGCGTGCGTGCGTGAGTGAAGTACAGCGAGGCAGGATAATTATAAAGCGTATTTATTTTGGGCCTCACAAATATTTACGTATGCCACGAAAGCCTCGCTCCTTAGCACGCACTCATCGACAGGGCGTGACACAAATGCCAGCGCCTCCTGCTCGCCCCCTCGGCTCATCGCAGTCCCGGGATATCCGGCATATTTCGTTACAAAGCAAATTGACGTTCGATGCCGGGCTGGCGGCCTGGGCTCGTCGGATTTGCCAGCAGCTGCCGTCAGCTGTGTCTTGGGTTACTATTTAAACCAATTAACACGACACAGCCGACCGGCCCTTGCCTATGCGAAGTCCCCTTGGGACGGCAGGCATTGCGTGTTTTTGTGTCCCATGGGGACCATGGGGACCGATGGTCAAGTGCGGTTGCCAGCCAAATGCCTAAAGCGTCAAGCAATGCAAATACGCCAGCGGCCACTTAACGGCGCCAATGTCACAAAGGCAACAGCCACAACAACAACAACAACAGCAACTCAGCGAGCAAGGGCGGGACTTCAATTAGTTTTTATGCGCCTTCAATTAGGTTAAATGCTACTAAAAGCCAGCTTTGCATACTTGAGCCGGGCTCGAATTAAATACTGGATATAATTGCCAACTGTTAATAGGTAAGCTGATATTCGCTATGAAGTTATGCTGCAGTCAAACCTTGCGCAAAGTTGATTAGATTTTGGGTTTTAAAAGTTTGCTAGATTTTAATGGAATTGCAGTGTCTTAAAAAAAATATTTTAGGGCTATGGATAAAAACTAGGAAATAAATAGAAATTATAAACGACTTTTTTGCGTTTGCTGTGATGAGTTCTACTTAGAAAGATTCATGATACATATATTAAATTATAATTTAAAATTTATATAATATAAGCCGAAAGCTCTGAAGCTTGTGAATGATTTTTAAGTTCGTTTTAATTTTATATCAGCTCTAATATTTAATAAATATATAAATAAAATTAAAAAAAAAAAAAACAAAGTAAATTAAATTGTAATAAATGGAGTTAAAATGGCAGCCCATTTCAGCTTTTACTATATTTATAAATAAAAAAAATAAATAAAATTTCAAAAAAGAAACATAAAAAAACAATAATAATTTGTCCCTATGTGAAGGGACTCAGCTTATTAAAAATTGCTAATTTTTGCCATTTACTTGTGAAAGGATGTCTGCTAACTGTAAAAAGGTAAATTTATTTGATTCTAGGAAATTAAAACGCAATCAGAATTTTAAATTGAAAATTGTATGAGTAATCTCACAAAATTTTAAGCTAGCTTGAGTCAAATTTTTAGATACATTTAAAAGATATATTTGTCTGAGCGAAATTCTATGAAAACCGGCTCAGTGGCTAATAAACAAACCCAGTTTTCAGTTGAATATGCTAAGTATGAAGTAGCTCTTGAGAATCTTAAGCGAACATGAGACGGATATTAAGATGAAGCAAAGAAGATGAAGATGTGTGAGTACGCCGCATGGAAAATGAGCAATTAAGCAGAGCCAAGCTGAGCACCTCACACCTGCAGTATTCTAAGATATATTCGTATAATTAATATGAATTAAAAAATATTTATATTTATATATATATATCAACTCATCAATATACGCACCGCTTGGTGATGCGAGGTCGCAGCGGCCACATGATGGCTATGTAGCGATCGATGCTGATGGCCACCAGGGTGTAGGCGCTGACCAGGACGGAGACCACCTGCGAGTAGTTGACAAAGTGGCATAGAACGATGCCGAACGGCCAGTAGTTGAGAATGTACTGCGAGATGAAGGAGGAGGGCACGCAGAAGAGCGACATCAGTATGTCGCCCAGAGCCAGATTGGCGATGAAATAGTTGGTGACGGTGCGCATGCGCGGCGTGGATTGCACGATGTAGCAGACGATGCCGTTGCCGAGCAAGGCGAATATAAAGATGGGTATGTAGAGCAGGTAGACGACGCTCTTGAAGTAGTCGCTGGACCACAGATCATCCGAATGGGAGCTGGAGTCGGTGCAGCTAAAGTTAAGCAATACGGTCACATTGAAGGCGGGCGTGGTCGATGGATAGCTGGCTTCCTCGGCTTGCATCGGCTGTTCCGTAGAGCTGCCGTTGTACAGCAGCGCCTCCGCAGCATCCGGATAGTCGTCCTCGTTGCGCAACAGCGGCTGCTGTGCCGCTATGTAATACAGGCGCTCCTCACTTAACGCCGAGCGCTTCATGTCCAGGCGACTTCGCTGCCAGGCCAAATTGTTAAACTCCATTTTGCTGGCAGAGTAATTTTCTTCTACGACTCTTTTCTTATGGTAGGCGAAGTTTGGCCGGTGTAACTTAATCTAAACACACTTTGGCATAAGCAAATTTTAATTGCAGCGTGATTACATGGCGCTCGCTTTGCGGTTGAAATTTAATTATCTACAGCCAGCGGATGGGACCTGAAAGTATGCGCGAAATTTGATGAAATCCGTTATTAATGTTATTAAAATTTTCAGAAATTTTCATGCTTGGCTTGCCATGAAAGTGAGCTACTGGCTGGCCAAAAAGAAGTCTATGCAAGTTTCACTGCATGCCTTGAGGCAGCGCTTCTCAGACAGCTGAATGGAATGCCATCTGAACTGTTGCATATTTTAGAGCTGCGGGCGAAATTATTAATGGGAAATTATTTCACTAAATTACACAGACACCAAATTAAGCAGCCATTTCAAATGCAAAAAGATTAATTTCTAATTTTCTGCTCTTTGCTTATGTTGAATTATTGAAGCACATATGTTAAGCAGGGACTTTTATATTTGGCTTCAAACTGGTCTCAATTAATATATGTATATGAAAGACAATGAAATTACTGTAGTAAACGTGCCATAAATACCGTAAGCATTGTATTATATAGGAAAATAATCGTATCTAAGTCATGCGCCTGTCTGCATCAAAGTAAATAATCTTTATTTACTCATTCTTGTCCACTGATTTAGCTTGAGCTATTAAAAATGTTAAACTGGAACACATACATATTACTTCCAAAAAGATATTTTCATTACTCATTCAATCAACTGCTTCAAAATATTAAGCTTAACAAACTCTTGGTCAGACTACTATTTCTGAATAAAACACATGCATGCATATGTAGCATGTGTTGCTCTGAATAAAACATATACACATGCTGTACTGCACCTTTTATTTACTGTAAAATTAAAATTTGTAAAATTGTAATTACGCACAAAATAGCCTTTCATATGCATCTAGCTCGCTTCTTATATAATATATATTCAAAGATGATAAATCACAATTGAATTAACATTTAAGACGCACACTCGACAAGGCTAACTTCAACAATAACGTGCTTTAGGCAGATTTGGATTGTGATGGAATCGTGAAAGATAAGCATGCAGGCATTAGGCCCGCAAATAGCTGAATGAGCTCAGACATCATCACACTCAAGGCCTTCTCGGTATGTTCCTTACTTAGAATCTATCCAATATACCCTTGCATTTTAAGCATGCGATTTTAAGCCAACTTAAAATACTTATAAAGCTATTCAACTGTGTTAAAATCTATAAGACTTCTTTTAAAACTAACATGAAATCTATAAGTGCCTCAAAAGTGCCCTGAATGGGCTCACATTGCAATGCATTGCAATGAGAAAAGCATCTATAAAATAAACTGTTGCATATACTTGTGCGCATCCCGTATAAGACTCGGCGCTGAGTGTATAAATCAAAATGACAAACAAGTAAACAGAGACCATTAAAACTGCCAAAATAAAGTACACAGAAATCGCTTAAGGGTAACACAAAATATATATATATATGTATATATATATATGTATGTATATATGTAACGCAGCCGGCTGCAATGATAAATTGGTCGCAATTCAAAGGCATTTTGCGCTGAGCGATGGTTGAGCAAAATGAAAGGGAAACCTTTTAGGAGCGAGGAAGTCAAAGCGAAGGAGTGAAAAATATCGATAAATGTATTTATTTCTTGACTGAGCACTTTGCCAACGAGAAACTGTAAAGTCAAAAAGGTTGAAAGCATACCAGGAAGGATTTTCGCCAAACCAAAGTGAAATGTTGCTAAGAAAAATACAGAATAAAATGAATTTATATAATAAACAAGCAAACAGTTTTAGGCAGAGTGAAGAGAAAAAAAAGCTAAAACAAAAGGCAAAAGACCCTAAGACTTCCTTCCGTTCAGCTGCGATTGAAAAACGGTGCCATATTCTGGCTTTAATGAGCCGCGGGCGGGATGGAAAATCTGTCAATTGAAATGCATGGCCATAAGGCAGACATAGCCATATATGTATATATAGATATATACCCTATATATGTATATGGTGCTTTTCTATTTGTGGCCTGGCATTAGGCAAATGAAAATGATAAGCAGAATGTGCGTACGCGCACAATTAAAGCCTGGCAACAAAGGACTATTGTTAAAGATAATCTGAAAGCTGAAATTTGATTGCTAAGAGCGTGCGTGCGTGTATGGGTGTGTCTGGGCATATCTGAGCATGTGAGTGTGTAAAAGGAAGTCATTCCAACTTTTACTGGAGCGCCGGTTTAATGTGCCGCTAAATAAACTCCGACACCGACTAGCTGACAGTGGCTGCTAAGCAGACTCGTATGTGTCTGTGAACGCTTGCTGTAAAAGCCGGATAAGGATATCTATCAAGCAAGTAAATTGCTTATCTCAGCGCAATAATGAGGTACTTGGAGAGCTTTGGACCGTATGTTCAGTGGGGGTAAGCGATATGGGTGTGGGTCTGTGGGCGTGGGCCTGTCTCAGTGTGTGCGTGACTTGAGTTCTGTGCGACAGTCGAACGTCTACTCCGTCTGCCATACTTTATCAATTATCTACACAAATTCCAAAATCCCTGCCGAGCTTCATCAAATTTCAACAGACGATTGCGTGCCCAAGGATTTGTTATTGGAATTTTCTTCAGGCATCCGGCAAAAATAAAGTAAATCATTTGATGTTTTCTTCCTTTCCTCGTTCTTTCTTCAATATATGCATAAAAAGGTTTTTAATTTAAAATCTATTAATTTTTAAATTAAAATGCAACCTCGGCGAAAACAAGATCGAGCTTTGCATGACAAAAAAAGTGCGATTTAAAATTATATGAGATGTGCCAGATTTCAATTGCAGGCAGCATGTACTTTGAATTGCTTCTCGTAATGAAAAAGAAAATCACGTTTCAATCACATTTCATTCACAAGAAGGTTCTACCACTCCACCCATATTGAAAGCGTTAAGCAGGACAGTGCCGAGGTTATTAATGAGAAGTCATCAATATTGCATTAGGGGCTCAGCAGATTCGAGTATGTGCGCGGCATGCCGAAGCCAATAATTAACAGGGACTGGCTCAATCTCCATATGGGTCTAGTGCCTTAAATTCGCTTGAGTGGAAATACAAGTCTTTTAAAATAAAAGTATGAGCGAAAATACATGACCCAAGTAAAGTAGGAAAATGGCCAAAAAATCACGTACCAAAATGTAATCATAGCACGTGATTCGGCTGAAGGCTTCACTGAGCATTGCGAGAGGGCAAAAAAGAATGTAATAAAATACGGTAGCCCTTGGCAAATAATCTATATATATATATTTACATAGAGCATACGTCGAGGCTTTCTACGGAAATGAAAAAGGGCCACAAATCAGATTTGATCGGCTTAGTTGCTTGTAAATTCATTTAGCGCCTTTTTAGGCTGCAGCGCGTATTGACGGCAGTCGCGAGATTCGTCCCACGAAATTCAGGTGATGCGCGGATAAATTCAATTTGCTGTGCTAAAAATATGACTAAAGCTGCAGAAGCGAAAATAAAAAAGAAAAACAGATTGAAGCTCACTGCTAAATCTTCAAAGTGAGCCATAGCTCATATTTCCATTTGCGTTCATTGCGTTTCGGGGCTTACGCCGTGAGATTAACATTCGCTTTATGTCCAGCTATGTTCCGAGTAAAACGCCCGCTAACGTTGCCCAAAAAGCAAAAGCGCAGGCTAAAGCAAACAATGCCAGCATACAATGCACCCGACTCAAACAGATTGAAGCCCAGACGAATTGTTAAGACTGCACAGAATTGGCATTTACTTTGGCAAGCGGAAAAGAAACAGCAAATTAAAAGTTCCAGCTCAGAGGAGCTCGAAGCAAATATTTCGACTACCACTGTTTGCCTTTAATAAAAGGCCAGAGTGATGTGCGTTTGCTCAAGGTAATTCAAGATTTTTGTTGAGCTATGTATGTATGTGTGTGCATGCATGTATGTATATAAGTGTTATGTTGTGCTCGTGTCAATTTGGTACTAATTAATATTTAATATTTTTATAACTGCGCGCAGCTTCTGTTCTGCTCTGCTCAACTCGTTCCTTCTCAGCTATACGTGGGACTACGGTCTCTCTTTCTCTCTTTCTCTCTCTCTCTTGAAAAAAAAGGATATCAGCAAGCAATGAGTGCGCTAATGGAACGCAAACTCGCTCGAATAATATTTTAACAGCAACTCTTAAATTCTAGCTCTCAACCTCACACTAATACTAATGCAACAGTAGCAGGAAATCATGACAAAGCTGAACAGTATTGTATGAATATTGATAGGCAGATATTATATACATGCATAGATAGGAAAATAATATATACATATAAATACTTATATACATACACACATGCATATGTGCATATTCTCTGTTCTTGCCTTAATTAGTCATTCTATACATCTGTCTCTGTAATAGGCAAGAATACCTAGAAATCGTTTTGGCGCATTTAATTCTGACTAAATTTCAATTATACGGATTATTATGTTTCTGACCAGCATATTCATGTTCATATTCAGGCATAAAAGCTTTACCTATATATTAGATAACATTTTCCACATTATTCAGATTCTTGTTAAATTTCGACTAATTGGCTTATTATGGACTTTTGATGCTATTATGCGAATTATGGATAAATTGAGATTGTTCAAGCTCTTTACAAACACTAATATTAATGTATTATATTTACAGAAAACTCTAACATTTCTGTGTAAGCTCTGTTTAAGAATTGAACTAAGCATCGTCGAGCTTTACATGCACTTTCTTACCATAGACCATGAGCATATAACACATAACACATAACATTTAAGCTGCCTCTATTTCTGCAATTACTGTTCAGCTTCTATTTGATGTATTACCACAACTCAGCTGCTATCGTTTTCTGCTGTTTTTACTGCTCTCAAGTGGATGTGTCAAGAGTTCAACTAATTCAGGCCTCGGCAAACAGATATATGCCCATCTCTAGACGCTGTCTCTTCTTCAGAGTATATAAAATACTTCCTGTAGCTAACCACAATGTCGTTGTCGCTGTCGTTGTCGCTGTTGTTGTCGTTGTTGTTGTTGCTGTTGTTGTTTTTCCATTAACATTACCCACAACCGAGTGGAGTCATTCGTTGGGTGCTTTTTCCGAGTGCTTGTAATTATAATTAATGAGCTATGTCAAGCGCACTTGACAGCGCCAGAGTCGAGTCAAAGGGCAAAGGACAAAAAACCAAAAAGGTAAGGTAGTAGGCCTGGGCGTGGTCTTGGTCGTGGTCGTGTTCGTAGTCGTGGGCGTGAAACATATTTGTGATAGTTTTTCCCCTTCGACTGCCATTTAAATGGGCACCCAGCCACTCAGCAGACAGTCAATGTTTTTATGGGATAATTAGCCAAGCCAACTGCTTATATTTGCGTCTTACTTAGCCTGGTTAATGCTTTATTTATTTCTTATTAAGCTTGTCAAGTATATGTTCAGTCTGCATAGAGGAAATTTCGTTTGAGTGCTCTTTTGTATGTAGCCGCAATTTGTGTTTTGCCAAGGCTTAAAAATAAACCTAAAATTGAATTTTTTGGCGAGCAAAAACATCAAAAAACACAAAAAGGAAACGTCCCAGCTTTGCGCTTTGTGAGCTCTTAAACAGAGTTTTCTGCGAAATTTAGGTTTAAGCCCTTTGCTGACCCTTTGACTGATGTTTGATACCCATATCAAATTTTATGCTGACTGCATGCGCATCTTTCTGTTGAGCACATTAATTCATTAGGTCCATTTCGAGTGTGAGCGTGAGTCCATATATGTAAATAGCCATCCCACCTTGCTGGCCGATTAATTCGGTAAAACACTTGCTGTCACTCCCCCTCCCCAGTCATGCTCCTGCTCCTTTTGAAATGTGACACTTTCGAAAATGCGATTAATTTGAATTTCATTGAATTCTGTGGCACAGCACCCATCCCGAACTCCTCCTACAAACACCTTTTTCACGACTCCCTCTATAACATATTTAACATAATTAAACGAATAGGCCTGCGGACATCAAGGACTTCACAGCTCATATTTTAATTGAGTTATATATATATGTATATATGGTTTGTATTTTTTTCCCCTGAATGCCGTCGAACAATTGGTGCGAATTGAAGCGAAATGTGTTAATTAAATGCACCGAGCATATTTAATTAGCGGCTGCCACTCAACGGCAGCTGCCACTTGCTGCTGTTGCAAATTTCATACTGCATTTTCCATGGCACTGAAATGTTTCATTTAACTACATAGTTTGCCTTGCGTTTGACAAGCTTTCAGTGATGCTCAATCAGCTCTAAGGAAACCTTAGACTTTAGCTGCACTCATGTTGTTTCAGAGCTTATGTGTTTTCTATTACCAAATACCATAGCCATAGTGAACAATTGTGCATTTGTCTATATATATGTATATTCTTAGTGTCGAAATAAATTCGTTTAAAATAAAAAATCAATGCATTAAAAACGAAAATGTATTAAATTCATGAAGAAGGAATATAGTTTATGTATAAAATTTTATTTGAAAGAAAAAGAGAATTTTATTAAATACAATTTTATAATATATCCTTATTATAATCTATATGTCTTAATTTGAGACATTTAAAGAGAAGAAATTAATTACATTATGAGCTCTTTGTATGCAAAATTTTTAAAAATTTATTGTTGCATTTCCAAGTTCTTTTGTGATTTTTGATTACCTAATCTAAAATTTTGTATTTTTTTCGACATTTTCATAGTTTTAGTTTAATTTTAAAATCAAATTTTAGTTTAAATTTGTTCCTTAAATCTTGTTAAATAATTTGTAATTAAATTCGCATTTTTACTCACTTTTCAAGGTGACCATACATATTCTTTGGTGCCGCCTCGAAGCATGCAACAAGTCAGGTGTATTTTATTCATCCATCGCATTTCGGCTATTATTATTGCAAGTCATTTAATTCATCTACTCAGCCAATTAGCACGAACAGGATAATCAGCCATGGAAAACTCATTAGCAATAATACGAGTACAAGTCAGAGAGGTAAACACGAAAAGTGAGCAGTGAAGAAGGGGCAGCGGGTGACGGGGGCGGAAGTGTCTAACCAAATTGAGTCACAGTTAATAGGCTTTAGTTGGGTCAACCGTCCATTGCTTACATTACTCATTCACACACAGCAAACAAAATTTAAATTTTGCTTCTAGCCACAGACATAACTTGTTCTACTGAACTGCAACTGAAGCGATTAATTTAAGTATATTGAAAGGCAAGGCAGAGAATTCAAGGTGATTTCGGTCCGACAGAGCATATACTCAGAGTCTCGACAGCAAAAGCACTGCAATGCCATTTTCTTGGACTTCGAACCGAACTTCGGTAGAGTGTGGTAATAAGACTGCGGTGGAAAATCAAAGAACAGCTGCCCTTTAACTACTTCGCTCTGATACGATCCTTCTTGTAGGGCCATTTATACAAAGTAAAAGAAGTATGGGTTGCCACAAAGTCAAAGCACTGCAGAGCAAGGCTATGCGCCGTAATTCATGCTAGCATCAGGATCTAAACATGGACCAAATTCCTTTGCACTCAAGTCTAAAACTAGCGATAAAATATAGAAGCAAGGTTGCTGAACAAGCATACCGTGCTTCCTACTAACATTTTCATATATAAAAAGTTAACATAGGGCTATATCCACTATTCAAGAACACTTAGAGGCCTCCGCCCTGGAGAGGGCTACTTACAGCAGATTAACAATAGTGCGAACAAGTGTAATCGACCTAGATAGGGTTGAGGCACGGCCCAGACCTCTAATACTATTTCCACTGATAAGGTAGAGCTCTCGTGCCTTATATGGTGCTTGCGTCAATTCCAAAATGTTTGTTATTCACGCTGCCAAAGATTAAATAATCACAACTAAGGCACACTTAAGTATGTGCAGTTTGCATATATTCTAATCACGCTGAAGTACTTGAGAAGGCTTATTTTCGGCTCCCAGTGTACCCCAGCAGAGCTAGGTTGAATTATTGTCCGGCATGAAATGTCAATTAAAAGATCAATTAAAGACTTTAAGCATTTTGGACAATGCTTATCAGATGATAATTTTTTTGACTGAAGTCTGATTATACCGCTGTCCAAGCGATAAGTTCTTCGGTATGGCCTATAAAAGACCATAGCTGGCCGAAACTCCTTATCAGTCGAAAGACCTCACAAACAATATGAAGACTATTTGGCTCTTGACTTTCTGTGCACTTGCTGGTAATTTTCATTAATACATGGGGTTCGCTCAGCTCGTTAACATATTCCTACAATTCCCATACAGCTTCGGTCTGCGCTATTCCTGAGTCCGAGCGCGAGAATGGAGAGAATGGCTGGTATATACCCAGGCCAGATGGCAGCTTCTTTTGGATGGACAAGGATGACGCAGAGCTTCGGCTTCAACAACTAGAGATGCAAGAGACGCGCGCACTGACCACAACTCCCGTCAAATTCTACCTATTCACCAAGTCGAACCCCACCAAGGGAACCAAGATCACAGCCACTAGCAAGTCCATTACAAAATCCAACTTCAATGCCAATAACCCCACCAGGTTAATATTATCTAAAAAGCCTGGAGCCGTCTGATAGAAATAGTTAATCAAGTGATCTCTTGTCCATTAACTATTTCCAGAGTTATCATCCACGGCTGGACCCAAAGCAGCTCATCGGGCATGAACAAGAACATTCGTGACGCCTGGCTGAGCAATGGTGACTACAACGTCATCGTCGTAGACTGGGCTCGTGCACGTTCCATCGAGTACGCTTCCTCCGTTGTGGCTGTACCCACCGTGGGCACGAAGGTCGCCAACATGATCAACTACCTTGTCTCCGACCATGGATTGAGACTCGACACTCTGTACGTCATCGGACACAGCCTGGGCGCCCATGTGGCTGGCTATACGGGCAAGAACACCAACGGACAGGTGCACACCATCATCGGTCTAGACCCCGCTCTGCCCCTGTTCAGTTACAACAAGCCCAACAAACGTCTCAACTCTGAAGATGCCTTCTACGTAGAGTCCATTCAGACCAACGGCGGCATGCTGGGCTTCCTCAAGCCCATTGGCAAGGGCGCCTTCTATCCCAATGGTGGCAAAACGCAGCCGGGTTGCGTTATGGATGTGACTGGTGCCTGCTCCCACGGACGTTCTGTGACCTACTATGCTGAGGCTGTCTCTCAGAACAACTTTGGCACCATGAAGTGCGGTGACTACGAGGCAGCCGTTAACAAGGAGTGCGGCAGTACCTACAGCAGCGTTCGCATGGGTGCTGATAGCAATGCCTACATGGTATCAGGTGACTTCTATGTTCCCGTGAACAGCAAGGCTCCCTATGGCAATATCAACTAAAATTGTGACGCAATTAAAGAATATTTCCGAAAATAATCAAATTTCGTTTTGGTTAAAACAGTATTTTCTGACTAACTAGCATCCATAGTAATCTTTAGTATATAAATACATACATACGGCTATGTACATAGTAATAGCTTAGAATTCAAATTAGCGGCAGAAAATATATGTACTTTTTTTCGTAATATTATTAGATGCTATGTAATTTCCACGTCTAGTCTAATTATCACGGGTGTGAAAAACTGTTTATATAAATAATGTTGGTCTTAATTCCTTACAAGTCGTGTACTACTATCCCAATGAGATGAAGTTTATTTGGCTCTTAGCTTTGTGTGCTGCAATAGGAAAATGTGAGTAATACAAATGAGAAAATCCATAAGATTTACTTTAAGCAGTCATCAGCTAGTACATACGCGGAGGTTTTATTCGAGAATGTAAATGTGGAGAATGGCTGGTATAAGCTCCTTACGGAAAAGAAAAACCTAGCGGACACTGCTAAACTCGTGAAATACTATTTATTATCCAAGGTGAAAGTACCAAAAAACCCGAAGAAGCTCAGTCCATAGAACCTATTGAAAGCTGCACATCGGCAATCAGCTGAAAAATATATACGCTTATATTTCATTAAGTTAGTTCTCGACCATAGTGAGGCACGGGCCCAGACTTGAAATACCAGTTACATTAATAAGGAAGAGATCTCGATCCCGATAGATCTTTATTCATAGCTGAGGCACACTTCAGTATGAACAGATTTCATACAATTATGCATATCATCTAATAGTAATGAGTGTGCTCACTCTAGGCTCCCAGTGTATCCCAACAGAAGCAGATTACCGCTATTACTCGAAAAAGATCTGTAGACTTTCGTATAATTTTAAATATTACATGTGATTTCTTCAGCTCCTTAACGACCAAATTTAATTCCCATACAGCTGCGGTCTGCCAAATTCCTGTCTCTGAACGTGTGAATGGAGTGAATGGCTGGTATATACCCAGAATAGATGGTACCTTCTATTGGATGGATATGGATGACGCAGAATTGTTGCTTAAAGAGATAGGAGAGTCATTGGAGAACGATGAAAGCTATGCCGACAAGGTCTAGGGTGAACAGAAAATCCTCACGGCCATATAAACTAAAACTGTGACGCAATTAAAGAATATAATAAAAACAAGTAAGAAGGCTCCAGTCGAAACTGTTCGACTAGCAGATACCCTAATTCTACTCTACCCTGATATTCTAATCATTTTGCACTTCCTTTATGCACACATACATACACATGCATCCACACGCACGCATAAGCCTGCGCTCTGCTGACTGCGCAGCTAGCAGCGACTGTGCTTGGGCTGCGCTGCACTATGGGCAAAATTTGGAAAGTTTATTTGTTGAATAATTTCTCTTGTAGATAGACTATATTTATGAAACTTTCAGAGGGTCATGTGGAATGTGTGTACATTCCAAAGCACAAGTCTCTATTACTGGAAGTAAGTTTTTTACATATTGTTGGTGAAGGGGGCGTGGTATGAAAAATCTTTGTATCAAAAACTGTTCAAATTAGGCTGAAAAAACAAAGTCGATTTTTCGATTATCCTTGATAAAAAAGTTATCAGATGAATTATCGAAAAAAAAAAGATGAACTTGTATGCCTATGCTTATGGTATACTCGAGTATGAATTCCAAATTTCAGCTCCCTTCCTCTTATATCTTCTGACATCGGCTTGCTCATACGGATGGACGGGCGGAAATGGCTATATCGACTCAGCTCATCGCCCTGATCAAGAATATATACACTATATGGGGTCTGCAATGCCTCCTTTTACATACATGTTACATACTTTTCCCAATACCATTATACCCTGATACATCTATTGATACGGCTATCAAACAATAAATATATGGACGTTTCGTCGTATTATTATTAGATGCCATATAATTTCCATGTCTAATCTAATTATCACGGGTGTGAAAAACTGTTTATATAAATAATGTTGGTCTTAATTCCTTACAAGTCTTGTGCTACTATCCCAATAGATGAAGTTTATTTGGCTCTTAGCTTTGTGTGCTGCAATAGGCAAATGTAAGTAATACAAATGAGAAAATCCATAAGATGTACTTTAAGCAGTCATCAGCTATTACATACGCGGAGGATTTGTCCGAGAATGTGAATGTGAAGAGCAGCTGTATAGCAGCAGTATATGCTCCATACGGAAAAGAAAACCCTAGCGGACTTTGCTAAGCTCGTGATATGCTATCTATTATCCAAGGTGCAAGTACCAAAAAACCCGAAGAAACTCAGTCCATAGAACCTATTGAAAGCTTCACGTCAGCAATCAGCTGAATAATGAATTAGTTCTCGATGATAACATTTAAGGACGTTGTCAGCAGTCGAGGAGGTTACTTACAGCAGATTAACAGTAGTGTTACTGAGGCACGACCACAGACTGCAAATACCACTTACACTGAAAAGGAAAGCTCGCGAGCCCAATAGATCTTTATTCATAGCTGAGGCACACTTATATATGATCAGATTTCATAAGCTTATGCTTATCATCTAAAAGTATTGAGTGTGCTTACATTAGGTTCCTATTGTATCCCAGCAGAGACAAGTTCAATTATTTTCCGGTATTAAATGTCAATTAAAAGATCATAGATTATAAGCCTTTGGATCAATGCCTATCAGATGATCTTTTTTGTTGCGATATCTTCTTCGGTCTGCCCTATTGCTTGCCAAAACTCCTCATCACTCGAAAAAGATGTGTGGACTTTCGTATAACTTTAAGTATTACGTGTGATTTCCTCAGCTGCTTAGCGACTAATTCCCACACAGCTGCTGTCTGCTTTATTCCTGAGTCTGAACATATCAATGGAGAGAATGGCTGGTACGTACCTAGATCCGATGGTAGCTTTTATTGGATAGATAAGGCTGAAGCAGAAATGGTGCTCAAAGCGGTAAGAAGCTTATTGAATGATGAAATACAAAATGCTCCGGTCGACTTCTACCTGTTCACCAAGTCGAATCCCACCGAAGGAACCAATATCACAGCGACTAACAATTCCATTAAAGAATCCAATTTCAATGCCAATAACCCAACAAGGTCAATACAACATGAACAAATTCAGAGCTTCGTTTGCGATAATTGTTTAACCAAGTGATTCCTCATCCATTAACTACAGATTTATTATCCACGGCTGGCGCCAGGACAGATTATCGGATATGAACAACAAGATTCGTGACGCCTGGCTGAGCAATGGCGAATACAACGTGATCGTCGTAGAATGGGCTAGTGCACAAACATTCTATTATCCTAAGCCCGTTGAGGCTGTATCCACCGTGGGGAAGAAGGTCGCCAACATGATCAATTATCTTGCGTCCGACCATGGATTGAAATTCGACACTCTGCACGTCATCGGACATAGCCTGGGCGCCCATGTCGCTGGCTATACTGGCAAGAACACCAACGGCCAGGTGCACACCATCATCGGTCTGGACACCGCTCTACCCCTGTTCAGCTACGACAAGTCCGAAGAGCGTCTCTCCTCCAAAGATGCCTACTACGTAGAGTCCATTCACACCAGCGGTGGCACGCTGGGCTTCCTCAAGCCCATTGGTAAGACCGCCTTCTATCCCAATGGTGGCAAAGCCCAGCCGGGTTGCGGTATTGATTGGATCAGTATCTGCGCTCACAGACGTTCTGTGATCTACTATGCTGAAGCTGTCTCCCACAAAAACTTTGGCACCATTAAGTGCGCTGACTATGAGGCAGCCGTTAATAAGGAGTGCGGCAGTACCTACAGCACCGTTCGCATGAGCGCTGATGGCAATGCCGACGAGGTCGAGGGTGTCTTCTATGTGCCGGTGAACAGCGAATCTCCCCATGGCAATGCCAACTAAATAGTAGAGTGACGCAATAAAAGAATATTTTCGAAAATAATCAAATTTCGTTTTGGTTAAGAAAGTATTTTCTGACTAACTAGCATCCATAGTAATCTTTAGTATATAAATACATACTGTGGGAACCAGCGCCAAGATGCTAAGCAGCAATCGACGCCTACAAAGCAGAGCCCGTTAACTCTCTCTCTCTTTATAATTTCTTATTACCTCTCTCTCTCTATTCAAATTTAGTTAGTAGTACTTTTGTGACATATATATGATATATATATTATTATTTTGGAAATCAAGTGTTTCATTGAAAGTACCGGGTTATTACACATACATACGGCTATCAACATAGTAATAGCTTAGAATTCAAATTAGAGGCATAAAATATATGGACGTTTCGTTGTATTATTATTAGATGCCATGTACTTTCCATGTCTAATCTAATTATCCCGGGTGTGACAAACTGTTTATATAAATATAACTGTTGGCCATAATTCCTTAAAAGTCGTCTACTACTATCCCAATAAGATGAAGTTTATTTGGCTCTTAGCATTATGTGCTGCAATAGGCAAATGTGAGTAATACAAATCATAAAACTCATAAGACCTATTTAAAGCAGTCCTCAGCTAGTACAAACGCGGAGAATTTGTCCGAGAATGTCAATGGGGAGAACGGCTGGTATATGCCTAACGAAGATGGCACCCTTCAGTGGATAGACGAGAAAAAAGCGGAGGCAATGCTTCAACCCCTTACGGAACAGAAAAACCTAGCGGCAATTGCAAAGCTCGTGAAATACTATTTATTATCCAAGTACCAAAAAACCCGAAGAAACTCAGTCCATAGAACCTATTGAAAACTCCACGTGGGCAATCAGCTGACAAATATATACGCTTATATTTCAAGTTAGTTCTGGATGATAACATTTAAGGGCGGTGTCAGCACTTGAGGAGGGTACTTACTGCAGGTTAACAGTAACGCCCAGACTGCAAATACCAGACTGCAAGAAAGAGCTCCCGAGCCTAATAGATCTGTATTCATAGCTGAGACACACTTAAATATGAACAGATTTCATACATTTATGCTAATCATCATATAGTATTGAGTGTGTTTACTTTAGGATCCCAGTGTATCCCAGCAGAGGCAGGTGGAATTATTTTCCGGTAGAAAAGTCAATCGAAAGGTTGAAGACATTAAGCATTTTGGACAATGCCTATCAGGTCACCCTTTGTATTGTGATAACGTCTTCGGTTTGTACTATAACAGACCATTGCTTGCCGAAACTCCTTATCAGTCGAAAAAGTGGATTTTCGGATAACTTTGAATTTTACATGTAATTTCTTAATCTTCTTCACAACTAATTTTGATTTCCACACAGCTGCGGTCTGCTTTGACTCTGAACGTAAGAATGGATAGAATGGCTGGTACATACCTAGACCCGATGACAGCTTTTTTTAGTTGGATAGAATTATTACAGAGCATTTGCTTGAAAATTTAGAAAAGTTAAAGAGCCTTACACTGCAAAAAGCTCCGGTCGACTTCTACCTGTTCACAAAGTTAAACCCCACCAAGGGCACCAAGATCACAGCCACCAGCAAGTCTATTAAAAAATCCAATTTCGATACCTAAAACCCTACAAGGTCAATACAACATGAACAAATTGAGAGCTTCGTTTGGCTAATCAAGTGATTTCTCATCCATTAACTACTACAGATTTATTATCCACTGCTGGCTCCAGAGCAGATCATCGGACATGAACAAAAACATTCGTGATGCCTGGCTGAGCAATTGTGACTACAACGTCATCGTCGTAGACTGGGCTAGTGCACGATCCCCGGTTATGCTACCCCTGTTGTGGCTGTACATATCGTAGGCAAGAAGGCCAACATGATCAACTACAGCACCGTTCGCATGAGCGCTGATAGCAATGCCGACAAGGTCGAGGGTGTCTTCTATGTGCCGGTGAACAGCGAATCTCCCCACGGCAATGCCAACTATGTAGTAATGTGACGCAATCAATCAAATAATTAGACTAGGTAATCTAGTTGGGTTTACGACGCTAATCATATAACTGAACGATACACCTTGAGGCTATAATCCATACTATAGTGTGGTATATACATACATATATACTTATACGGTAACCGGTACTGCTATCAACATAGTAATTCAAGCAATTCCATTAGAAGCAAACAATATATGGACTTGTCGTTTCCCACGCAGTGCATAAATCATACGACATTGATGTAGGCCTCCACCGATAAAGATTTATGATCAGTGATAATTATTAATTATACTTGTGGTTCACTAAATGACTTCTAATTGTATGCCCATTGCTCCTCATTTTTCGAGGTGACCATATGTGCCTCCTAAAAGTATGCAACATGTGTGTGTATGTTATTCTAATATTGGATTTTGTGTACTATTTTTGCATGTCATTTAATTCATCTACTCTGCCAATTAGCACGAACAGGATAATCAGCCATGGAAAAATCATTAGCAATAATACGAGTACAACTCAGAGAGGTAAACACAAAAAGTGAGCAGTAAAGAAGGGGGCAGTGGGTGGCTGGGGCGGAAGTCTCTAAACAAATTGAGTCACAGTTAATAGGCTTTTGTTGGGTCAACCGTTCATTGTTTACATTACTCGTTTACACTCAGCAAATTTGCTTCAAGCCACAGACATAGACCATAGCTGGCCGAAACTTCTTATCAGTCGAAATACCTCACAATATAAAACCCTTTTAGCTCTTAGCTTTCTGTTCCACGTACATGGAATTCCGCCAACTCTTTAACAAATGCTATTAATTCATACACAGCTTCGGCTGGCAGCTTATGTTGGATAGATAAACATGCGGCAGAACGTTGGCTTCGACGAATTGAAAACGTACTGTTCAATGACCAAAGTTCCTATCGAATTCTACCTGTTCACCAAGTCCAACCCCACCAAGGGTACCAAGATCACAGCTACGAGCAATTCAATCGCCTCATCCAACTTCAGTGCCTATGATCCAACGAGGGTAATCCTACCTGAAACGACTGGACCGGTCTTATAGAAAAAAACTATTCAACTGATTCCTTATCCATTTACAGATTTATTATTCACGGCTAGACCCAGAGTAGCTCATCGGACTTGCAGAAGAACGATCGGGACGCCTGGCTGAGCAATGGTGACTACAACGGCATCGTTGTGGACTGGGCTAATGCATGTTCCATGGACTATATTTCCTCCGTTGTGGCTATACCCGGCGTAAGCCAGAAGGTCGCCAACATGGTCAACTACCTTGACTTCCATCATGACTTGAGTCTCGACTACCCCAAGAAAAACTTTGGAACCATGAAGTGCGATAGCTATATGGCAGCCGTCAATAAGAAGTGTGGCAACACCTACAGCACTATTCGAATGGGTGATGAAGGCAATGCCGACAGGGTCAAGGGTGCCTTTTATGTGCCGGTGAACAGCAATGCTCCCCACGGCAATATCAACTAAATAAGAATAATAATGTGACGCAATCAAAAAAGTTACCGAAAACAATCGAATTCCGCTTTGCTTAAGGAAGCATTTTTTGTGTAAGTAACTAATCTTTGGGTTCACGACGCTAATCATATAACTCGAAAATACACATTGAGTTTCTAATCCATACTAAGCCGTACACTATATGGCAAGCGATACGTCTATCAATTTAGTAATTGCTCATGGATCTAGCACTTCCCTTGCAAATTTAATCGAGTTTCAAGTGCTTTTAAGCCAATATAGAAGGATGGTGTAGTATGTTGCATATCAAATAAACATATGTCCATCGTATTGTAGTGTATACAATATCTGATGTTGTCTTAAGTCCAACTTAAGTAATTTGTCATACTCATAACATAGCAGCACTTTGTTGCATTGTTTACACAATAACAGCTATACATAAGTGCCGTAATATGATCGGTTCATTATGTATGGACTAGCCTGCAGCGTGGGATCTGCAACGTAAGAATTGTTACTTTCTCGTCCACGCTATAGCTTAAGCACTTAAATGTATATGCCTCATGCATGTACATACAAAAATATATATATATAGATTCATACGGCATGCTATGTACTCCCGTTCTGCAGCTGCTTTTAGCGCCAGAACTCTTTATATAAACTTTATGTATTTAGGCTGACTTTGAATAAATAAAATGAATAAATAAAATAAAATTCTCGCCAAAAAACTCCAAGTGAACGGGTTGATTTTTCTAATCATTATCATGTTAAAACAAGTAAGAACGTTGCAGTCGGGCGTTACCGTCTGTAGAATACTCATTCACCTCCCATCAGCAATTTAGAAGTTTTGTATTCATTATATGTATATACACAGTAAAACTCAAGGTCTAAAAGTGTTTAAATTGGGCTGAAAAAATAAAATAAATTTTTCGATTATTCTCGATAAAAAAGTTATGGCATGAGTTATTGAAAAAATATGATGAACTTGTACTGCGTAAAGCTCTCTAGCTCTTATAACTTTTGAGATCGACGCACTTATACGGACGGACGGACGAACGGACAGACGGACAGGGCTATGTCGACTCAGCCCGTTACATACTTTTCACAAAACCTGATTTCCCATTGAAAATGGGTTCGGGGTATAATAAAAAAGACCATCTTGGAATTACGAATTGCTCCCAAGGGAAAACATGTGTCTAAAAAAGTTAACTGTTAACTGTGAGCTACTCAACAACAACAACAAGCCTATTTTCATGCCTGCACCGGCCACGCCAAGCGCATCAAGTAAAAGAAGCCTGTGCGGAGACCTGCACCGGTCACGCCCAGCGCAACAAGCTGATCTCAATGAGTGAAAGAAGCCTGTGCAGAGAAGCTGGACCAATGACAGAAAGATGAGAACCGACAGCGTTACCTAGAGCGCCCGAAATATAATAAGAAAGAATATATTTATATAAAGTTTGTATATTAAGAAATATTATAAATTGTAATAATTTTTGCAGATGATACTGCAATTCTGTCGTCTGGAAATCTTGCTGAAAAATTCTAGTAAATGCAGATAAAACACAGGAAATCTTCTTTACAAGGAAGAGAAAAATATTTATATTCCAACCAATAGCATTAGCCTCAAACAATCAAACGTAAATTGGGATAACAATGTAAAATACCTAGGCATAATTTTAGATACAAAATTAAACTTTGCTGACCACGTCCAACATGTCATTAAGAAATCGTATACACTAATCCGTACCATATATCCATTTATAAATAGAAATTCTCGCCTAAGCTTAGAAAATAAAATGTAGCTTTTCAAGTCAATATTTCAGTCCACAATTGTTTATGGGGCTCCGGTATGGGCTGATATTGCAAATGTACATATAAATAAAATTCAAATTTTACAAAATAAAATACTAGCAAGTAAGAAAGCTCTAGTCGAGACTGTGCGACTACGAGATCCCCTGAACGCTTGGAGCAATAGCTATTTCAATAATTTTTCGCGTCTTTCAGCTTACACAAGAAACACGCACACACACACAAGCATAAACACGCATGGGCTGCAGTGTGCGCTTACTATGAGAACTTAATTGTTTAATAATTTTTTTTTGTGGACATACGATCTTCATGAAACTTTTATATTATGATTATAATATAGATATGCATGTATTTGCCAAAGCACAAGTGTCCAGTGTTAAACACAACACTTTTGTATGCAGTAAATTGATTAAAAATACTGTGTCCCATATAATTTAAAAAAAAAAAAAAAAAAAAAAATATACATATACATATACATATACATATACATATACAGAATAAATAAAGTGTAAAAACAATGAAACAATTAAATATTAACATTCCATTCAAAAAAATAAAAATAGAACCACTTTGTAAACTTAATAGGTTTACCAGACGATACTACATAAAAAAAAAAAAGAAAAAGAACAAACAATAATTTTCGTGATAATAATTTATATGATAAAATAAAATAGAAAAAGGGGACGCGAAACCTCCAAAGGCTGCAGATAATACAGCAAATGTAGTTAATGTCGTAGAAGTCGTGGATACAACGCCACGTTTAGAAACCCAGACAGTGCCAATGTCCATACTAGTGGCATCAACGGCCTTAAATTTGTTTTTAAAGGTATATTTGTTATATAAACGTACATTAAAGAACGTTATCTAAGTCGTGCAAACGATTTAGACAAAATTTTAATTAAATAAATCTTCTGACAATATGAATATTCAGGCAAAGATAGATCAACCAATTTGACTATAAATAAGCAGGAACTGCCTATGACATATTATTCATACTTCTGATTCCAAGATGAAAGCAGCTTGTATAATTGGACTAGTAGCTCTCCTATCCACAGGTTGATTAATTTATTATATCTGTAGGTATTTACAGTTTCTGATTAGCTCTTTTCGGTTGCAGTGAGTGCTGTGCCCGTCGACGCTCGCGTTAACGGCAAAAACGGCTGGTACGTACCCCAGGAGGATGGCTCCTTTCAATGGATTGACCTGGACGATGCTGAAGATCTGTTGGCAAAGGGCGAGGCGATGGAGGGTCGCTTCCTCAATCCTGTCTCCTTCTATCTGTACACCCATTCGAATCCAACCAATGGTGAAGAAATAACGACCAAGAGCTCATCCATTGCCAGCTCACATTTTAACAAGGATCATCCCACACGCATTGTCATTCACGGCTGGACCCAGAGCTACGAAGCCTCCATGAACAAAGAAATCACCAAGGCGTGGCTGTCCCGCGGTGACTACAATGTCATCATTGTCGACTGGTCCCGTGCTCGGTTCAACGGCTACTTATCCTCCACGCTCGCTGTTCCCGGTGCTGGAGCCAAGGTTGGAAACATGATCAAGTTTTTGAATCAAAGCCATGGTTTGGCCTTGGACAGCCTTTACGTGATTGGTCACAGCCTGGGTGCCCACATTGCTGGATATGCCGGCAAGACCGTTGGCAAGGGTCGCATTCGCACCATTATTGGCCTAGACCCTGCTCTGCCCTTCTTTGGCCAAAAAAAGCCCAGCAAGCGTCTTTCCTCCGACGATGCCTACTACGTGGAATCCATTCATACCAACGGCGGCAAGCTGGGCTTCCTCGAACCCATTGGCAAGGGCGCCTTCTACCCCAATGGTGGCTTAAGTCAGCCGGGTTGCGGCTTGAATATTGCGGGTATCTGCTCCCACAGCCGCTCCGTGACTTACTATGCTGAGGCTGTCACCATGAACAACTTTGGAACCATGAAGTGCGATAGCTATGTGGCAGCCATCAATAAGATGTGTGGCAACACCTACAGCACTATTCGAATGGGGGATGAAAGTAATGCCGACAGGGTCGAGGGTGTCTTTTATGTGCCGGTGAACAGCAATGCTCCCCACGGCAATATCAACTAAATAAGAATAATAATGTGACACAATCAAAAAAGTTACCGAAAACAATCGAATTCCGTTTTGCTTAAGGAAGTATTTTTTTGTGTAACTCGAAAATACACATTGAGTTTCTAATCCATACCAAGCCGTACACTATATGGCAAGCGATACGTCTATCAATTTAGTAATTGCTCATGGATCTGGCGCTTCCCACGCAATATATAAATCATCCGACATCGCTGTATGCCTCAATTATTATCAGTTAGAGAGTCTCTTGCAGAGTGTGTTATTTAATCAACGTACTTAACTTTATCTAGCCTATTTTAATCAAGTTTCAAGTGCTTTTAAATCAACTTAGAAGGATGGATCGCTCTACCAATTTGACTATAAATAAGCAGGAACTGCCTATGACATATTATTCATACTTCTGATTCCAAGATGAAAGCAGCTTGTATAATTGGACTAGTAGCTCTCCTATCCACAGGTTGTTTAATTTATTATATCTGTAGGTATTTACAGTTTCTTATTAGCTCTTTTCGCTTGCAGTGAGTGCTGTGCCCGTCGACGATCGCGTTAACGGCGAAAACGGCTGGTACGTACCCCAGTTGGATGGCTCCTTTGAGTGGATTGACTTGGAGGATGCTGAAGATCTATTGGCAAAGGGCGAGGCGATGGAGGGTCGCATCAGCACCAATGCTGTCTCCTTCTATCTATACACCCATTCGAATCCAACCAATGGTGAAGAAATAACGACCAAGAGCTCATCCATTGCCAGCTCACATTTTAACAAGGATCATCCCACACGCATTGTCATACACGGCTGGACCCAGAGCTACAAGGACTCCATGAACACAGAAATCACCAAGGCGTGGCTGTCCCGCGGTGACTACAATGTCATCATTGTCGACTGGTCCCGTGCTCGCTCCGTGGACTACGCCTCCTCCGTGGTGGCGGTTCCCGGTGCTGGTACCAAGGTTGGAAACCTGATCAAGTTTTTGAATGAAAACCACGATCTGTCCCTAGACAGCCTTTACGTGATTGGTCACAGCCTGGGTGCCCATGTTGCTGGATATGCCGGCAAGACCGTTGGCGAGGGTCGCATTCATACCATTATTGGCCTAGACCCTGCTCTGCCCTTGTTCAGTTACAACAAGCCCAACAAGCGTCTCTCCTCCGACGATGCCTACTACGTCGAGTCCATTCAGACCAACGGCGGCAAGTTGGGCTTCCTCAAGCCCATTGGCAAGGGCGCCTTCTATCCAAACGGTGGCAAGAAGCAACCCGGTTGCGGTGTAGACGTCACCGGCTCCTGCTCCCACGGCCGCTCCGTGACCTACTATGCTGAGGCCGTCACTCAGGATAACTTTGGCTCCATCAAGTGTGGTGACTACGAGGCAGCCGTCGATAAGAAGTGCGGCAGTACCTACAGCAGCGTTCGCATGGGTGCTGATAGCAATGCCTACATGGTATCGGGTGACTTCTATGTTCCCGTCAACAGCAATGCTCCCTTCGGCAACGTCCATTAAGTGACTAATTATAATACGCACAATAAACGTGCTGCCCTCACAAGCAAATCATATTTGATGTCTTTGAACTGGCAATTGTATCATGGTTTGGTTATTGCTTTTATATAGGTTAAGCTTTTTATAGATTTCGAAAGCAATACATTTCTACAAACAATCTAGGTTTTATCGATGGAGCACGCTATATATTGACTAAAATTGCTATTCTATCAAATAATAGCTAAAGCTATCGCTTCATAAAATAGAATACAACCAAATATCAAGTTATCATCGATAAATGACTATATCGTCAGAGTTATTAAAAGGGAAATGGCAAATTGGATTCCTCATCAAAAACATACGAGTTTAGTGATTAAATATAGGCAGGTGCTTAACAGCTTATCGCAAGTTGAAAATTATTCGCGTTATAGACTATAAAAGACAAAGAAATTCTAAAGATATGGCAAATCTACTTGAGTTACCGGAATGAAAGTATTTCTCGTACTAGCAGCACTCCTTGCAACAGGTCAGAAACAATTTTTTTCCCGTTAGATGAAATTTTGTAGGTCCCTAACACTCTTTTTCAGTCAGCGCCCTGCCCATTCAGGAGCGTATTCATGGCGAGAATGGTTGGTATGTACCACAAATCGATGGTACCTTCGAGTGGATGGATCTGGACGAGGCCGAGCACCTGTTGGCTGACGCAGAGCAGATGGAGGAGCGTGTAAACACAAATGCTGTGTCCTTCTACCTTTACACCAGATCGAACCCCCACGAGGGCCAACACATTACCGACAAGGAAGCATCCATTCGCGACTCGCATTTTAACAAGGATCATGCCACACGCTTTGTTATCCACGGCTGGACTGGTCGTCAATCGGACCACATGAACAAAGAAATTACCAAGGCCTGGCTATCCCGAGGTGATTACAACATTATTATTGTTGACTGGGCCCGTGCTCGCTCCGTTGACTACGCCTCCTCGGTCGTTGCTGTACCCGGCGCCGGCACCAAAGTGGGTCAAATGATCAACTACCTGCACGAGCACCATGGCATGTCTCTGGAGCGCCTGATGGTAATTGGCCACAGCTTGGGTGCCCATGTTTCTGGATATGCCGGCAAGACCGTTGGCGAGGGTCGCATTCACACTATTATTGGCCTAGACCCTGCTCTGCCGCTGTTTAGCTACAACAAGCCCAACAAACGCCTCAACTCAGAGGATGCCTTCTACGTCGAGTCCATTCAGACCAACGGCGGCAAGTTGGGCTTCCTCAAGCCCATTGGCAAGGGCGCCTTCTACCCCAACGGTGGCAAGAAGCAACCCGGTTGTGGTGTAGACGCCACTGGATCCTGCTCCCACGGCCGCTCCGTGACCTACTATGCTGAGGCCGTCACTCAGGATAACTTTGGCTCCATCAAGTGCGGTGACTACGAGGCAGCGGTCAGAAAGGAGTGCGCCAGCACCTACAGTAGCATTCGCATGGGCGCCGATTACAATGCCTACATGTCGGGCGGTAACTTCTATGTGCCTGTTAACAGCAAAGAGCCTTTTGGCAAAATTGAATAAGTTCCGCTATCTGTCGATCTGAATAAAGTCTAACAACAAACAATTGCCTTGCGATAGTGTAGGTACTCCTTGCCCTATCTCCATCAAGATTGTATCTCTGCTCTAAGCGAACACTTGGGGTCCGTACGGTACGAATCGAGTGGACGAGCACACGTCAGAGATTAGTGGGAGCGTCACGAAGGGGGAGGGCGAAAATGGAGATTGCTTTGTTTTTCTGTTTGCTAGTTCTATAAATACAATGGAAGACAAGTTGTTTACGGTGCTCGAGCTGGCAGGTGAATGAATTGATTCGAAATTCATCATGATGACATTTTTGATTGCAAATCTGTGATAAAAGCAACCTGTTTCTCGTTGGGACTAATGCGAAATGAAACATTACCCGACATGCACAGCAAACCGATAAATCCGAGATGTCCAGCATGGAGCGACTATTAGCCGCTCGCATGGTCCTCTGCACGATTGACGATTAGCCAATGGGCAAGTGGCCACACAGAGCTCCAGTAGGAGGAGGACAAGTGTAGGAGCGTAGGCGTAGACATGTTCTGTGCTCGACGAGATGCAGCTCGGTAATCAGAATGAGCACATTTCGCAAAACATTTGCCGTAAGCGGCACACAAACGCACATAATTGTGGGCTTAAGTCCTCAGCACTGCTGCGAGCTTCCACACTGAGGTAGCTGCAGTGGAGAGAGCTTAGTTTGCCATTGCAAGAGCACCGCTACTAATGCCCATAAGGTTAAGGTCTCAGGCACATGGCCCCCTGTAGCACAATAGTTGAGCTAGCCAAATAAATCAATCTTAACAATATGCAGCTATCTATAAAATATTTTCGCTACCTATCAGTGCACATGGGCGTAGTTGGTAAGTAGAGTTTTTTATTTACACCTTACATGTGTCAGCATAAAGATCACGCTAAAAATATGATATTCTGAGTGAGAGACTAGGATATACCCTGTAATTAGCTTTAAATAGCCTAAAGATAAAAATATATTTACTTGTAATAATATTGAAAAATAAATTACTATACTTTTAATATCGAAAAGTTCTTTCAATATAAAATTTAAGATCAACATTTATCGACTTTCATTCTCTACGTGATTTATTTAAATTTAAGCATTCAATTTCTGAAAACCACGGTCATAGATTCATTACTCGATACTTATCACTTATTGAACTTCCATATTTATCGATAAGCGTTAACATTATTTTTAATTTATAAATTCGAGCTTCAAGTGAACATTCTTCAAGAAGATGGTATCATTTCTCGGCTCACATTAAAAGGGTTTTTTATTTGATTTAGACCTAGATATCGATAGTTATCGATTCACATGAAATATGTGAATTTATTCAGTACCGCTTCTGATACCTTCCATTCTGAGACTAAATTTTCTTTGACAAATGCACTCCCCTTTCCAAATGCTCAAGGGTATAAACATTGATAACAGCAAAATTCACTGATCAGTCGACGTTAAAGTTTTTAGATATTTAATATTAAATATAATTAATAATAAGAGCCGCGCAAGCTCTGGCGTGATTGCCTATCAATTGGCCAAATCTCAAGTGGGTCTGCAGAGCATACGCGTGATTTGATAAGATGCGTCTATATAAAGCTACAGCCTGGGGCAGGTCCGAGCATCAGTTGAAATTGTCTTCTGCGTAGCATGATGAAACTGCTTTTGGCTCTCGCATTCTGCGTTGTTGCGGGTAAGACTCTGAAGCTCTGTTCTGATCTGTTCTATTTTAATTACCAAGTTCGAGACGAATTCTTTCTATTCGACAGCCAGCGCCGTTGAGCACAAGATTAATGGTGAGAACGGCTGGTATGTGCCCCAAGCCGATGGCACCTTCGAGTGGGTGGACAAGGATAAGGCCGAAGCCTATCTGGAAGCCCATGCTGAGCGTGAGCGCTCCTTGCTGAACCCCGTCACCTTCTACCTGTACACCAAGTCCAACCAGAACTCGGGCCAGGAAATCAAGGCCAACAAGGCAAGCATCTCCGCCTCGAACTTCAATCCCAACAACCCTACCCGTTTCACCATCCACGGTTGGTCCTCCAGCGCCGATGAATATATCAACTACGGTGTGCGCAACGCCTGGTTCACCCACGGCGACATGAACATGATTACCGTTGACTGGGGCCGTGCCCGTTCCGTTGACTACGCCTCCTCCGTCTTGGCTGTGCCCGGTGTCGGTGAGCAGGTTGCCGACCTGATCAACTTCTTGCGCACCAACTTCGGTCTGTCCCTGGACAACACCATGATCATTGGCCACAGCCTGGGCGCTCATGTGTCCGGATTCGCTGGCAAGAACGTCAAGAACGGTCAGGTGCACACCATCATTGGTCTGGACCCTGCCTTGCCCCTGTACAGTTACGACTCGCCCAACAATCGCCTCAACTCCAACGATGCTTACTATGTGGAGTCCATTCAGACCAACGGCGGCATGCTCGGCTTTCTCAAGCCCATTGGCAAGGGCGCTTTCTACCCCAACGGTGGCAAGTCCCAGCCTGGATGCGGTGTCGATTTGACCGGTTCCTGCTCCCACAGCCGCTCCGTAATCTACTACGCAGAGTCCGTCACCCAGGACAACTTCCCCACAATGAAGTGCGGTGACTACCAGGAGGCCGTCTCCAAGAGCTGCGGCAGCACCTACAGCACCGTCAAAATGGGAGCCGTCACTAATGCCTACATGGTTGCCGGCGACTACTACGTGCCCGTCCGCAGCGAGTATCCTTATGGATATGGCAACTAGACTAGCTTATGTTTCTTTGACAATAAAACTGTATAGCGAAAACTCGAGCTTTAATTGTTTTTTAAGGCTGTTATTCCATGGGCCAAATGAAAACAAGTATGAGCTAAAAGCAAGCAAGAAAGGTACAGTCGAGCGCTACCGACTACGGAGTGCTCCCGATAACAGAATACTCATTCACAGGCAAAACGCTTCCAGACCCATTTTTCGGTGTGCCAGGTCTTAATGTTCATATATTCCGAATTGTACTTCTTTATGATTTATGGAGATAAAAATATGTATTACAGAATAAGTGAATATAGTCGGATCCTCATGAGCAAAAACTATAGAACATAATAACCACAAAGCATAAATATAGGAAAACCCGATTCACCATCGAAAAACTTTATCAGAAAATTTTCCGTCCCTAGCTGCCTATAGCGCTCATAATCATAATGGATGGATGGACTGACGGACAGAATGAATGAATGCAGAAATCCAATATACTTATTTCATTTGGGGAATGAGCACAAAAGTGTGGATGCTATTAATGCCAAACCAAAGATTGGATCAGTTTGTCTTTAACCATAATACTTCTTCACATATAGGGTATTCTCTAGTTGCTACTATTATAAATAACGTAGTCATTATCAAAGCTTTCACTCAACTCAAGCATTCAACTCAACTAAAAGCTTTGAGTTGAGTGAGTTAACTCTTACGCTTCAAAGTGAATTGTACTCAAAGATATGCGTCTGCACAGTAAGGAATTGCTTTTTATACCCTGAACCCATTTTCAATGGGAAATCAGGGTATAATGGTTTTGTTGAAATGTATGTAACAGGCAGAAGGAGGCGTGGCAGACCCCACAAAGTATATATATTCTTGATCAGGGCGACGAGCTGAGTTGATTTGGCCCTATCCTTCTGTCTGTCCGTCTGTCCGTCCGTCCGTCTGTCCGTCTGTCCGTCTGTCCGTATGTATGAACGCGTCGATTTCAGAAGATATAAGAGCTAGAGACTTCAAATTTTTTTTAAAATGTCCGTAATTACAGCGCGCATATCAAGTTTATCATTAAAAATCGATAACTCATCCCGATCTTTTTTTATCGATAAAAAACCTTATCGAAAACCAGTTATAAAATTATATCTTCTACAGCATTATTGCTAGAGTCTCCAAATTTTAATTGTATGCTTATATGCAATTTATGCAATTTCGGTTTTTGTTAAAATTTACCCCCCACCCTTAAATTCACCCCTTCACCATCACTTTTGTAAAAAGTGTATTTCAAATACTAGAGACTTGTGCTTTGGCAAATACATGCATATACATCTTATAATCATAATCTAAAAGTTTCATGAAGATCGTACGTCCACAAAAAAAGTTATTAAGCAATTAAGTTCTCATAGTAAGCGCTCAGTGTGTGTATATGTATGTAATTGTTTGTGTATGTGTGTGTGTGTGTGTGTGTGTGTGTATGTGTGTGTATGTATGTGTGTATGTATGTGTGTATGTATGCCTGTGTGTGCGTGTGTGTGTGTGTGTGTGCGTGTTTCTTGTGTAAGCTGAAAGACGCGAAAAATTATTTAAATAGCTATTACTCCAAGGGTTCAGGGGATCTCGTAGTCGAGTAATCTCGACTAGAGCTTTCTTACTTGTTCTTTATTGTCTTTATTAATCAATAAAAGCAAAGAATCATGCATACATGTATGTTTCAGTATCAATGCAGAATGTTGGACACTGCTTTTGCGATATAAAACATTTGCTGAATGATTATGACTAGAAATCTAATCTGCTTTCCAATCTATTGTTATTCGATTGATATTTAATTTACAGTAGCTGGTCGCATTGACAAAAAAGTCTATATAAACACGCGTGATGTGTCAATAGACGTTAGACATGAGTTTTATTGTATTCCTAACTGTTTGCGTGCTAGCTGGTGAGTACTTTGCACGTTCGATCAAACTACAACTCACAATTCACGACTTTAGTCAGTGCGCTGCCCCTTGAGGAGCAAACGACGCGCATTCATGGTGAGAATGGCTGGTACGTACCACAGGTGGGCGTTGACTCCAAGTGGATGAGCATGGAGGAGGCTGAAGGTCTATTGGAGGCATATGAAACCCTCAATACTATCGAGATCACTCAGCGTTTGTCACTGAACGCTGTTGACTTCTACCTGTACACGCAACGTAATCCGACGAAGGGACAGCTCATCCAGGCCACCAAGGAATCCATTGATGAATCCAATTTTGATGCCGCCAATCCGACTAGGTAAGTTTTAGCTCCGTGACTCAGTACGCTTTTATAGCTCCGTTTTATTGATAGATTTACCATACACGGCTGGAACTCCAATTACGAGGACGGTGTCAACAGGGGCGTGCGCGATGCCTGGTTCCTGTCCGGCGACTACAATATGATTGCTGTGGACTGGTCACGTGGTCGCTCGCTGGAGTATGCCTCCTCCGTGGCAGCGGTGCCGGGAGCGGGCGCGAAAATTGCTCGCCTAGTGGACTTTTTGGTCATCGAGTATGGCATGTCCTTGGAAACGCTCGAAGTGGTGGGCTTCAGCCTGGGTGCTCATGTGGCCGGTTTCACCGCCAAGCAGGTGTCCACTGGCATCGTGCGAAAGGTGGTGGGTCTCGACCCCGCCTCACCCCTGTACAAATACGAGAAGCCAGAGAAGCGTTTGTCCAGCGACGATGCCTTTTACGTGGAGACCATTCAGACAAGTGGTGCCACACTGGGCTTCAGCAAGCCCATCGGACGCGCTGCATTCTATCCGAATGGCGGTAAATTCCAGCCAGGCTGTGGAATCGATTTAACCGGCACCTGCGCCCATACACGCGCCGTGTCGTACTACGTCGAATCACTGCGATTGAATAACTTCCCAACCATCAAGTGCGAATCCTATGAACAGGCCCAAAAGAAGGATTGCGGCAGCACCTACAGCACCGTGAAGATGGGTAATAGCGAAAATGAATTTTTTGCCGTGGGCGACTTCTATGTGCCTGTTAACGGGCAATCGCCATATGGATTGGGAGACTTCAATATTGATGACACAACCACACTGCAGCCCACGACAATTGTTGAGGAGACAACAACAACTACGGCCAGCGAGGAGACAACGACAACTACTCCCAGGGAGGAGACAACGACAACTACTCCCAGGGAGGAGACAACGACAACTACTCCCAGGGAGGAGACAACGACAACTACTCCCAGGGAGGAGACAACGACAACTACTCCCAGGGAGGAGACAACAACAACTACGCCCAGCGAGGTGACAAACGACAGCTCCAGTGCCGCGACCCCTCCGGGAATCGTAACGACACCGACACCTGCTCCCGAGGGAGACAAAGACAACGGACGTAAGACGAACATTTATATCCTGAATTTAATATTCGTCAATGCGACAATAAACAAGTAAGAGGACTGATCGAGCCAGGAATGGGCAGAGGCAAGGTCTTCTAAATTCATCAATAAAGCGAGCATGAAATCGAATCAAATTTAATTGCAGCTGGTGCCCTTTGATGTGCGCTTAGGATGCCACGCCCACAGCCAAAGCTTATTCCATCTTGTGAGTGGGCTTCAAAGTGTCTGTCGGATATCGAGCCCTTAAGAGAAAATATATATTTTATATTGCGTCCGCTTGAAGTTCAATATCTATGATATTTTGTCTGTCTCCTCTCTCTACCTCTCTCTCTCTCTCTCTTACCTGATGTAATCGAAAATTTGTGTCCGGCATTAATTACGGAGTTCTCGCTGTAATCGAAAACGCTTTGATGTCTCCTATTGCAAGCACAGCACCTTAATTAAGAGCAGAGAGATTTAATCTGTAGCCCAGGGACATATTATTCGTCACGTATTTCTCTCTCTCTCTATCTGTTTCTTTCTTGCTATATGAAAATGAAACTCGAATCTTATTATTCCTAATTAGCACTCAGACACATCAATCTGCCCTCGCTAATGCGCCGAAAATAAAGGAATGTCAGCAAGAAAAAAGTTAGATTTTTATATGCTAACAGTTCATTAAAGACATTCAATTAGGAACAAATGTAATTCTTTTATACCATTAACCCAAATAAGTCACAGCTGTTCAAAGTGCAAAGCCAGCGCATACTTTGCCCCCGGCGCTGTGCAGCATATGATACCACAAGTTTCTATTAGCGATGTCGAGGGACAATTGTGTGTCCGTATATAAATAATCGACTTAGTTAATTCATTATTTATTAAATAGCTTTCATAGTTTAAGGGTACAGGGTATAGTTCCATCTAAGCAGCGCGGCCTAGCACATCCACAATGCAAGATTTGATGTCCGCATTGAAATAGCTGCCACTTTCACATCTCTGTGGCATGAAGTCGCCATCGATGCACTCCAGATAGGAGGCAAAGTCCTCAGGGTCAGCCTCCCGCTCACCTTCCTTGCAATGATCCCATAGGGGGACACAAACTCCTTCGTCGTCCACTACGCAGCTGTGCAGTGCTGTGTGGAAGTAGCTACCATATGAGCAGAGCCTTTTAACCATTTTGCCATCGATGCACTGCAAGTAGCCAGCACAGTCGTCTGGATCGATTCTTGTCTCACTATTGTCACATTCCTTAAGTCCAGCACAGAGTCCATTTTCATCAATTACACAGGCTTCTAAGCTTGAATTGTAATACCTTCCATTGGAGCAATCGAACTGTATTAAGTTTCCGTATGTACACCTGAGATATCCACATCTATTTTCGGGGATCTCCCCAAGCTCATTCTCAAAACATCTTTCAAGACTACGAATACAAACACCATTCTCATCCATTTCACATATCTTCAAGGCAGCATTGAAAAAACTTCCTTTGGCACACTTCTCTTCTATTAGATTCCCATCGACACATATGAGATAGCCTGAACAGTCCTTAGGATCCGCTTCCAAAGACCCTTCGGTACACTTGTCGTTATTGGGGTCGCAGTTACCATTCTCATCGATCTCGCAGATCTTCAAATAAGCATTGAAGAAACTGCCTTTTGCACACTTCTTTTCTATTAGATTTCCATCGACACACATGAGATAACCTGAACAGTCCTTAGGATCCGCTTGTATAGAACCTTCGCTGCACTGTTTGGGATCACAAATTCCATTCTCATCGGTCTCACAGATCTTCAAGTCAGCATTGAAGAAGCTTCCCTTGGCACATTTCCCTTTGACCAATATACCATCAACGCATTTGAGGTAACCTGCACAGTCTTCAGGATCCTCTTTTAAAGAGCCTTCCGTACACCTCTCACTTTTGGGAATACAAATTCCGTTCTCATCGATCTGGCAGATCTTTAATTCAGCATTAAAGGAACTACCTTTGGCACACTTCTCTTCAACCAGTCTCCCGTCAACACATCTGAGATAGCCACCACAGTCTTCTGGATCCTCTTCTATAGAACCTTCCCTGCATTTTCTCTCCATAGGAATGCAGTTACCTTTCTCATCGATCTCGCAGATCTTAAAATCAGCGTTGAAATAGCTTCCTATTGTACACTGCTCTTCAACCAGACTTCCATCAACACATCTCAGATAGCCAGCACAGTTCATAGGATCAGCTTGAACAAAACCTTCCGTACACGACTCATTCTCAGTATTGCAAATTCGATTCTCATCGATCTCGCAGAGTTTCAGACTTGCATTGAAGTAGCTGCCCAATTGACATTTTGTCTCCTCTAAGCTGCCATTTACGCATCGAAAGTAACCGCAATTATTTCCAGGAATCACTTCAATCTGACCCTCCGCACATTGCGCAGCTGCTGCCACACATCTTCCACTCACATCGATGACGCAGACCTCCCATGCTGGATCAAAGTAGCTTTGCGTGGGACAGCTTTGTATTAGAGTTTCCCCATTTAGGCATTGCCAATATCTAGAACAGTCTTCGGCATGAGACTTAACAGTTCCTTCGAGGCACTTACTTCGCATATTCGTGGATATTGGGTACACAGAGTAGAGTATGAGCCATATATGAAGTGCTATTCCATGATATATACATTATCAGACATTTCGTTAACAAAAGCCATCAACAATTCAGCCTCACCAAAGTAGTTTATCCAAACTGGCGTGGTCCACATTTTCACGAACTGAACTACGTCTCAGCTTGAGAGCTGTTTTTATAATTTCAAAAGCTATTAAACTAATGAATTTTCATGTTCTCGTGTCTTGTTTTCTGTTGATAACAAAATACTTAAATATTATATTTGTGCCACTCTAAGTTCAACATATGTCCAAACATCTCAAAAGTAAACAGACCCACTTAAAGCTGTGTACCCACCCGGAAATGACATAATAAAAAATTCTCAACAACAATACATGAGAAATTTGTTGACGGGCTGAAAAAAATGCAAATTTAAAGTCAAACTCCCAGGTGAAAAATACTTGGCTTCTAAAACACTTGCAAGTCCGCAAGTTGCGAAATATTTTGAACAGATTTTATAGCGCAAAGGTGAAGGGTGAAAAGGTGATTCTGTTATGAATGGTTCGCACTCGCATGATGACTTTGGTCTTTTTGCTGTAAAATTCATTTGAGTGGCAATTCAGGCGAGTTTCAAATTGCCTGGAATGTCAGAAATTTGTGTTGAGTGATTTGCATATTTCTTTGCAGCTTTTTTATTTTCACATTCACTCAAACTGCGACGAGGTCCTTGGCTTGGAATGTCTCACATTCATATTGGTTTACATTGGCCCTTAGGCGGACCATCAATAATGCAGGGCACAATATTAACATGCCTAACGGCACCGCCGAGCATTTGAGCCACCAAAAATTAAAAAAAATAAAATAAAAATGGAAATTAAAGAAGAAGAGAACAAACACAACATGTGAAAAGGTCAGACAGCTTAACGGCCCAAACGGAGTGCTGGGCATTGACACTGCAACGGGCCGTAGAATATACGGTTCAACGCTTCAGAACTCATTATTCAACATTGCGCGAAATCACACGTGTGGCAGACGGATGTGCCCAGGGCCCCTTTAAGGCCTTTGCGGTGACACCAACACCCACATAATTATGTGTGTAAAAATCATTTATCATAATCGTTGCATAGCTGAGAGGCTTCTGTTTTACTCTGTGGCATTTGAGTGACAAGAAGTTGAATACTTTATACACATACAATTATTCATTCATGCATTTAACTGCCTGAACTTTATCAAAACACATTAGAGCTTTAAAATGGGGCGTTATCGACTTCAGAATACTCATTCCTGGTCAAAACGTTCTTAGCCATAGAGAGGAGACTAAAATAATTTTACTTCAAGTTTCAAGATCTGCTTTAGAAGATGCAGCCCCGATTGGGCAAGCAGCTAATAATCACATATATAGGCCATATTCCATTTGTCAGCGAGGACCATTTGTCAGCAATACGTACATTTCACAAAATCAATATACTCATTTCACAACGTGAATAAGCATAAAAAAATCAATAAAAAAATATTACCTATATTATATTAATAAGCTTTCACAAAGTCAGCTAAAGTTTATTTATTATTTAAGTGATTCGAATAAATCGCATATGAAATCAAAATCTGAGAGTCTTATAGCAAATGTCAAAGTAAGTCTAAAATCGATGCATATATACATCAGACATTCACACACACAGAGCATGTCCCAATCAAAGAGCATCTCGATTACATTTTTTATATAGCATACCTTATACAGTCTTCCACGTAGAGGAAACTGAAACCGGCTAATAAATATTAATGTATGTAGTTTGTGTTGATTTAAAAAAAAAAAAAAAAGAATAGAAAAAAAATTGAAAACTTGTTGACTATTTTGAGTGTTTTGAGATTTGTTCGACGTTCGCCTTGAAGCTGAGCTAATGGGGGTCCTCTGCAAGTGCCGCAAGTTACACAAATGTGTCAACTGGCCATTGTTCTGTGCTCCCTGGTGACAAAGCCTGGCAACCTCGCAAGGTGCTTGAACAAGGACATTTGCAGCACATCGGATTGGCAGCCGTCATGGTAAAGCCCTGGGTAATACGCAAAGGTCGCAGCGGCTGAAACAAGTATCGGGATTTGTTTGTGTTTGTGAACGCTTGGACAGCCTTTAGGGTCGTTGAGCCCGTTCAATAGGCAAGCACCCAATAAAATGAGTAAAGGCACTGAGCAAGTGTGTGTGTGTGTGTGTGTGTGTGTGTGTGTGTGTGTGTGGTTTACCCATGAGTTCAGCTTGGTTGAAGCACAATGGAAACTAAGCAACAACAACAAAGTAAATAAAAATAAAAAGCAAATATTCCCAACTACTGAGCAGTCTATCAAAAGGTCCTGCCAGGCATAAAGCACAATGCGCATAAAATTACAAATTTCATTTGAATTAATTTATGATTACATTTTATTATATAGTGAAGTCATCCCAAATCCAGTTTAGCCAGTCAAGTGTGCAGATCAGCAGGAGGCAGCCGAGCCACAGGCCATCATCGTGTTGCATGCCTCAGTGCACTTCAGCTAGGGCTATGTAAATGTTTATGATGCATTGGCAAAAATGCCG